GTCCATTCCCTTTCTATGTCCCTGTTTCTATTATAATCACCAGTTCATTCTGTACATCAGGTTATTTATTCACTTGATTCTTAGATTCATTTGTTGATAGATGCATATTTGTTGTTCATAATTTGTATCTTTACCTTTTTCTTCTTCTTCCTCTTCTTAAAGGATACCTTTCAGCATTTCATATAATACTGGTTTGGTGGTGATGAACTCCTTTAGCTTTTCCTTATCTGTGAAGATCTTTACCTGACCTTCAATTCTGAATGATAGCTTTGCTGGATAAAGTAATCTTGGTTGTAGGTTCTTGCTATTCATCACTTTGAATATTTCTTGCCACTCCCTTCTGGCCTGCAAAGTTTCTGTTGAGAAATCAGCTGACAGTCGTATGGGTATTCCCTTGTAGGTAACTGACTGTCTTTCTCATGCTGCTTTTAAGATTCTCTCTTTGTCTTTTGCTCTTGGCATTTTAATTATAATGTGTCTTGGTGTGGTCCTCTTTGGATTCCTTTTGTTTGGGGTTCTCTGCGCTTCCTGGACTTGGAAGTCTATTTCTTTCACCAGGTGGGGGGAAGTTTTCTGTCATTATTTCTTCAAATAGGTTTTCAATATCTTGCTCTCTCTCATCTTCTGGTACCCTTATAATTCTGATGTTGGTACGTTTGAAGCTGTCCCAGAGGCTCCTTACACTATCTTCGTATTTTTGGGTTCTTTTTTCATTTTGCTTTTCCGGTTGGGTGTTTCTCGCTTCTTCGAATTTCAAATCTTTGACTTGATTCTTGCGCTCCTCTGGTTTGCTGTTGGGAGTCTGCATAATATTCTTTATTTCAGTCAGTGTATGCTTACTTTCTAGATGGTCCTTTATCACACCATCGAGGGTTTCATTAGATTTCCTGTACATCTCATCAAGTTTATCAACAGACTCTAGAAGCCTCTTGAGAGACCTCAAAAGTGTGGTTCTGAACTCAATATCCTCCCTTGATAGTTTTGTCCTGTTTCTTTGTCTCCGCATTTTTTACGCTTTCTTGGTACACCCTCTAGTGGTCTTTGTGCGCAGTCTTGTTGTAGTTAAGCCTTGATTGTTATAGCTAATACTAGAGGGATTTGACCTCCAGGCCGACTGGCTGTGCTAATCTAGCCTTTGCCTGAGGCTATCCGGCAAATGCCTCTGTGCAGGGCTTGGGCGGGGCGGGTCCCACGGGATCAACAGGGCGGAGGGGGGAGCAGTTATTGCTGCTCTCAGTCCGTCCCCAGGGGCTCTGCCTCTCTGTCCCAGCAACAGCTGCAAACCTTGGAGGGACCGTAGCCAGACAGTCCTGCTTCTCCCGTTTGAGTCTGGGTCCCTAGAGACTCGCCCAGATCTAGAGCTCTGAGTCTGAGGCTCCCTCCAGATTGAAACAGACAACCACGCCCTCAGCCACCAGCCCGCGCCGCACGCACTCCGCACCTTAGTATTTTACTTCAGCACTGCGCCTCCTCTGATTCTCGGTTCCTCCTAGTTGTAGAACTTCCATTCAGCCAGCCTTCCTGAGGTTTTGGATGATGTCCGTTCCATCTTTTAGTTGTATTTTTGAAGTGGTTGTTCGAGGCAGCAAACTCCGGCGTTAACCTATGCCGCCATCTTGGTTTCTCCAATTCATTTATTAAATCTAGTAGTTTTTTGGTGGATTCTGTAGGGTTTTCTATGTAAAATAGCATGTCATCTGTGAATAATGACAGTTTTACGTCCTCCTTTCAAATTTGAATGCCTTTTATGTTGTTGGTTTTTTTTTTGTCTGATCACTGTGGCTAGGACTTCTAGTACTAGCAAGAACATAAACTTCGGTAACTAATGCGATGGTGGCTGACAGGACAGCAGTGAGGGAGAGAGTGTGAGTGAGGGAATGAAAGGGGCGTGTGTGGGCATGTGGTGTGTGTGTGTGTGTATGTGTGTGTGTGTGACAGTTATATTCTGCAGGACTTTTGGGGGCTGGCAAACCAGGCTCCCCTAGCCAGGTGGCACCTCCTACCACTGCAATCTCTCCAAGGGTGGCCGGCTGTGCCGCAGAGGCTGCGCCATCCTGAAAGGGGGAGTTGCTGTGACTAGGAACCCAGCCTCACCTCCACATGAGGAGCCCTTGGACACCACCGGGATCCTACAGCCACACCAGCCAGGGACCTGCTGCCTCGGTTGCAAACCCAAGAACCACCAGACTCCAGCCTCCCCAGATGTGGGCTCCTAAAAAGTTTGTCCAGGGGAGGGAGACAAAATGACAGCCAAATAGGCGGACGTGTCCTGTGCCTTTTCACAGAGCAGATAGAAGAAACATCTAAATCAAATAACATCCACCCACAATTGCTGAATTAAACACAGCTGGTGAGACAATCCATGGCCTGAGAGGACAGAAGACACCTGGAGAACAGTAGGATCAGGGATCTGGGCTGGCGAGAGAGAAACATGACCACCGGGACTAGAGGGTCAGAAAGAAACTGCGCTGCACCAAGTCTGCATTCCTTGGAGACACGTGTAACACTTGACTGTGGAAGGGCGTCCACAGGGCTGCTGGCAGCGGGGACTCTAGATTTAACTGCAGACCATGGGAGGCCGCACCCAGAAAGGCAGCCTGAAGTTCTACACTGGCCATGCAGTGTGGAAGGGAGAAAATCATGCAGCAGCACAGTTGCTCTGTCTTTATATTTTTCTTGGTTTTACTCGCTAAACCCAGTACATAGGATCTTCAATTACAAAACATGCACCGAGGCTGCAGTGCAGGTGGAGGTGGTTTGGTGGAGGCTGGGGAGCAAAGCAGGGAGAGGCGACCAGGAATCCAACTCTGGGACAGTCCGGTCCCCTCCAACACTAAACAGCTATTTTTCTCCAAAAGAGGTAACACCTCCTAGTGGCCCCAGAAAGTAATATAGCAACACTGCCACCTAGAGCCCATGTCACAAATAGACAATTGTGTAAATATGACTGAAGGCAGGCAGACAAACAAAGTGGGCAGATTGTTCCCGCATGTCTAAATTCAAGCCTGTGGAGACAGACACAGAGGAGCGGGGGATCGCTGAAAATTCAACACGGTCCTGACTACCTAACAGGAAACTGAGAAGTGCCAGAAGGAACAGTAGAGAGGGGTCTAAATCCACCCCCATGAGACATTAAAATTCAGCTGAAGCAAACGACATTTCACTACTTCACTTTTTATTTATCTTTTACCTAAGAAAGGGAAAGAAAAAATATTTTTCTTTATATTATTATTATTATTATTTGTGACCTTGAATTTTTTTGATTAGTGTTCTACATTCTATTTTTATTTTTTATCATTATTTTACTTTATATCACTTTTTCCTTTTTGCCAACTTTTTCTTCCTCACTTCTCCCTGTTTCATTCTGTTTCTCTTCTCCTGTTCCTGCTTTAGTTTTTCTCTCTCCTTTCTTTTTACTCCTTGTTAAAAATTGATCTTTTTTATCTGCTTTATTGATGCATTACTATTATAGTACTCTGTTGGCTTACACATATACTTAATATCCTCTCCCCTGCTCCAAGTTCATGCACCCTTCTCTTTTCTCTTTCTTTGCTAGCCAATGCATGCATTTATTTATTTATTTATTATTATTTATTTATGCTTTTGTTTTTTCTCTCCTCACTTGCCCTCTTCTACTCCTAATTGTTTAATTAGTTTCACTCACCAAACTCAAGCCAATTTGCTCTCTATTCTCCTTTTCCAAAAATAGATGAATATATAGATAGATTAAAGAAGGGGAAAATTTTTTTCTTATTTATTTACTATTTTGTTTTATACTTTTCTTTTTATCCACTCATTCTCTTTCTATCTCCTCTACTGAACAGTAGCCATTCCTGACTCATTCAAAACCTTTACCTTACTTTCTGAAAATAAGCTCTGCCTCTTCAGATTCAGTTACTTCCTTTTCCTCTGGGTGTTTGTTGTTTGCATTTTTTAGTTTGTTTGTTTTGTGGAGTTTTCTCCTCATATACATATATTTTTGCCCTTATTTTTTCTTCTTTATCCTTTCTCTTTTACCTTTTTCCTTTTCTCATTATCATTTTTGTGCTCTTTTCTCTCCCCTAATTCTCTTTTCTCTGGTGGTCAACTTTATTGGGGTTATTGGTGTCATGAATACATTTGTGTTTTGTTCCCTCTGTGTTGTGTCTTGTTGAGTTGTATTTTGTGCCTTTTGGTCAATTCGGTAGAGAGTGAGCCACAGAACCAGACACCCTGAGAGGAGCAAAAATGGGGAGACAAAGAAATAGCCCCCATACAAAAGAAAAGGAGGAATCACCAGAAAAGGAAATAAATGAAATGGAGGCAAGCAAATTGTCAGAGAAAGAATTCAGAGCAATGGTCATAAGGACACTGAAAAGGATGGAAGACAAATTCAACAACATGTGTAAGAATCAAGAGGAAATGAAGAAAAACCAAGAAGAAATTAAGAATGGCATAGCTGTAATAAAGAACACAATTGAAAGCATCAACAGTAGACTAGAAGAAGCTGAGGACTGCATCAGTGAGCTAAAAGACAAGGTAGAAAAAAACACCCAAGCAGATCAACAACTGGAAAAAAAAAAACTTAAAAAGCAGGAGGAGAGCCTAAGGGAGATTTGAGACAACATGAAATGAAACAACATCCGCATAATAGAGGTGCCAGAAGGAGAGGAAACAGAGCAAGAAATAGAAAACCTGCTTGAAGAAATAATAACAGAAAATTTCCCTGATATTGGGAAGAAAAAACTCACACAAGTTCAAGAAGCACACATAGTCCCAAACAAGATGAACCCAAAAAGACTGACACCAAGACACACCATAACTAAATTGGCAAACACCAATGACAAAGTAAGAATCTTTTTTTTCAAGCAAGTTGGTTTAATGCCAGGTGGTACAGAATATCTTGAAGAACACACTTCGACGGGACTGAGCTGGGTTTCCTCTGACCACACAGCTACTGTTGAAATGGCAGAATGAGAAGAACTGAAGAGATGAGCCAATGCATGATTATCATTATTAAATTTTTTTTTACAGAAGTTTATTCTTAAATGTACCCCAGCCTCCAAGACAACACTTCATTTTAGCTATAGGTAGCAAGAGATGTGATGACAGGGAATCCTGATGTTAAAACAGGAATGGAACTAAGGATCACCATTGCCCCAGGCACAAGGAACAGTTCACTTTTTGCCAGATTTCTTAATTCCACCTGTGGCCAGGGGGCCCTTCCCCGCCGCCTTCGCTTTCAGCTCCTCGAGTTTCTTCTGCTCCTCCTTCTGCCTCTGCTTGAACGCCTTGTCCTCCTCGTCCATCTCCTTGGCCTGCTTCTTGGGCTGCTTCAGGAGCTTCTTCTTGCCACCTTCGTGGCCGGACATGGTGTCTGCCGCCCCGGCCCCAGACCCTCAAAGTAAGAATCTTAAAGGCTGCCAGAGAGAGAGAGAAAGTTACCTATAAGGGATCTCTCATTAGATTATCAACTAATTTCTCAACAGAAACACATCAGGCCAGAAGGGAATGGGATGAAATATACAAAGTGATGCAAAGCAAGGGACTGAATCCAAGAATACTATACCCAGCAAGGCTATCATTCAAAGTTGAAGGTTAAATATGAAGACTCATAGACAAAACAGGCTAAGGGAGTTTATTACCACCAAGCAAGCAATGCAAGAAATGCTAAAGGGACTGCTGTAAAAAGAAGAAATAGAAAGGGAAGAAGGAACACAGGCATAAAGAATACAAATGGAGACAAACAAGTACCTATCAATAATAACATTAAATGTAAATGGATTAAATGCTCCAATCAAAAGACAAAGGGCAGCTGAATGGATTAGAAAACGTGACCCATATATCTGCTGTCTACAAGAGACCCACTTATGATCAAAGGACTCACACAGACTGATAGTGAAGGGATGGAAAAAAATTTTGAGGCGAATGGAAATGAAAAAGAAAAATCTGGGGTAGCAATACTTATATCTGACAAATTAGACCTCAAAGTGAAGGCCATCACAAGATATAAGGAAGGCTGCTTCACAATACTAAAGGGACCAATACAAGCAGAGGATATAACCCTGATAAACATATATGCACCCAATACAGGAGCACCCAAATATATATTAAAAAAACTTCTGGAAGATATCAATGGAGAGATCAACAACAATACAGTCATAGTAGGGGACTTTAATACCCCAATGACACTACTGGATAAATCATCTAAACAAAAATTCAGCAAAGAAATATTAATCCTAAATGACTCACCAGATCACATGAAATTAATTGACAACTTCAGAACATTTCACCCCAAAACCACAGAATGTACATTCTTCTCAAGTGCACACGGGACATTTTCAAAGATAGAAAACATATTAAGACACAGGCAAGGTCGCTTCAAATTCAAGAAGATAGAACTCATATCAAGAATCTTCTCAGATCACAATGGCATAAAATTAGAAATCAATTACAATAAAAACAATTTAAAAAATCAAACACCTGGAGACTAAATAGCATGCTATTAAATAATGATTGTGTTACCAAAGAGATCAAAGAAGAAATAAAAGCATCCTGAAACAAATGACAATGAAAACACAGCAATCCCAAATCTATGGGGGTACAGTGAAAGCAGTCCTGAAAGGGAAGTTCATAGCTCTACAAGCCTACCTCAAAAAAAATAAAAATAAAAACACCAAGAAAAATGGTAATAAATTATCTAACCCTACAACTTAAAGAATTATTAAGAGAGAAACAAAAATAGCCCAGAGTGCCCTAACTGGTTTGGCTCAGTGGATAGAGCATCGGCCTGCGGACTGAAGGGTCCCGGGTTCAATTGTGGTCAAGGGCATGTGCCTTGGTTGCGGGCACATCCCCAGTGGGGGGTGTGCAGGGGGCGGCTGATCGATGTTTCTCTCTCATCGATGTTTCTAACTCTCTCTCCCTCTCCCTTCCTCTCTGTAAAAAATCAATAAAATATTAAAAAAAATAGCCCAGAGTAAGCAGAGGGAAGGAAAGAATGAAGATCAGAGTGGAAATAAATGACATAGAGACCCCCCCCAAAAAAATACAAAAGATCAATAAAACCAAGAGCTGGTTCTTGGAAAGGATAAACAAGGTTGGTAACCCTCTAGCCAGGCTCATCAAGAAACAAAAAGACAGGACCCAAATAATCAAACCAGAAATGAAAGAGGTGAAGTAACAACAGACCCCACAGAAATAAAAAGGATTGTAAAAAAGTACTATGAACACCTCTACTCCAACACCAGACAACCTAAACAAAATGGACATATTCTTAGAAAAATACAAACTTACAAAACTCAATCAGGAAAAATAAAAAAACCTGAATAGGCCAATAACTACTAAAGAAATCGAAGCAGTGATCAAAAACATTCCAGCAAAAAAAGGCCTGGTCTGGAAGGCTTAACAGGGTAGTTCTACTAAGCATTCAAAGAAGAACTAAAACCTATCCTCCTCAGACTATTCCAAAACATTCAAGAGGAAGGCACACTTCCAACCTCTTTCTATGAAGCAAGCATTGCCCTAATTAAAAAATCAGATAAAAACACCATTAAAAAGAGAACTACAAGCCAATATCCTTGATGAACATCGATGCTAAAATCCTCAACAAAATTCTAGCACATCAGATTCACCATTATAAAGATCATACACCATGACCAAGTGGGATTTATTATGGGGTGCAAGGATGGTACAATATCTGCAAATCAATAAATGTGATACATCACATAAACAAATTGAGAGACACAAATCAAATAATCATATCAATCGATGCAGAAAAAAGCATTTCACAAAATCCAACATCCTTTCTTGATAAAAAGTCTCAGCAAAGTGGGAATAGAGGGATCATACCTGAACATAGTAAAAGCCTTTTATGACAAACCTACAGCCAACATCTTACTTAATGGGCAAAGACTAAACTAATTTCCCCTGACAGTGGGAACAAGACAGCCATGCCTACTTTCACCACTCCTGTTCGACATAGTGCTGAAGTGCTAGCCATTGTGAACAGACAAGAAGAAGAAATAAAAGGCATCCAAATTGGAAAAGAAGAAGTAAAACCGTCCTTTTTCGCAGATGACATGATACTACATAGAAAACCCGAAAGACTCCATCAAAAAACTGCTAGACCTAATAAATGAATTTGGCAATGTAGCAGGATACAAAATTAACATCCAGAAATCTATGGCCTTTTTATACATGAATAATGAACTCACAGAAAGAGAAACAAACAAACAAACAAAAACAATCACATTTACCATTGCAACCAAAAAATTTAATATATCTAGGAATAAACTTAACTAAAGAGGTAAAAGACCTGTACTCATAAAACTACAGGGCATTAAAAAAAAGAATAGAGGAAAGATATAAACAGATGGAAGAACATACAATGTTCATGAATTGGTAGAATAAACATCATTAAAATTTCCATACTATGCAAAGCAATCTACAGATTCAATGTAATCCCCATTAAAATACCAATGGCATACTTCAAAGATCTAGAACAAACTCTCCAAAAATTCATCTGCAATAGAAAAGACCTCAAATAACCACAGCAATCTTGAGAAAGAAGAACAAAGTTGGAGGGATCACAATATCACATTTCAAGCTATATTACCAAGCCACAGTTCTCAAAACTGCCTGGTACTGGCACAAGATCAGACATATAGACCAATGAAATAGAATAGAGAACTCAGAAATAGACCCAAGCCATTATGCTCAATTAATATTTGACAAAGGAGGCAAGAGCATACAATGGAGTGAAGACAGACTAATAAATGGTGTTGGGAAATTCAGTCAGATACATGCAAAAAAATGAAACTAGATCACCAACTTACACCATACACAAAAAAACCTCAAAATGGCTAAAGAACTTTAATGTAAGACGGGAAACCACAAAAATCTTATAAGACTCCATAAGCAGCAAAATTGCAGACATATGTCATAGAAATATCTTTACAGACACAGCTCCTAGGGCAACGGAGACAAAGGAAGAAAATAAACAAATGGGACTACATCAAATTAAAAAGCTTCCGCACAGCAAAAGAAACCATCAACAAAACAAAAAGAAAGCCCGCTGAATGGGAAAACTTATTTGCCAATGATATTTCAGATAAGGGTTTAATCTCCAAAATTTATAGAGTACTCATACAACTTAACAAAAGGAAGATAAACAACCCAATCAATAAATGGCCAAAGGATCTCAGTAGACACTTTTTGAAAGAGGACATACAGAAGGCCGACAGACATATGAAAACATGCTCAGAGTCATAATCATCCAAGATGCAAATCAAAACAACGAGATACCATCTCACACCTCTCAGAATGGCTATCATCAACAAATGAAAAGTGCTGGCGAGGATGTGGAGAAAGAGTAACCATCATGTACTGGTGGTGGAAATGCAGACTGGTGCAACCACTGGGGAAGACAGTATGGAGTTTCCTCAAAAAGTTAAAAATGGAACTCCCATTTGACCCAGTAATCCCACTTCTAGGACTATATCCCAAGAATCCAGCAACACCATTCAGAAAGAATACATGCACCCCTATGTTCATAGTAGCACAATTTACAATAGCTAAGATTTGGAAACAGCCTAAATGCCCATCAGCAGATGAGTGGATTAGAAAAGTTTGGTACATCTACACAATGGAATACTACAGCGTTATAAAAAAGAAGGAACTTTTACCATTTGCAACAGCATGTATGGAACTGGAGGGCATTAGGCTAAGCGAAATAAGCCAGTGGGAGAAAGTTAAATATCACATGATCTCACTCATATGTGGGATATAATGATCAACATTTGATGAACAGGAATAGATCCAGAGACAAATGGCAGGGGAGGGGGCGGTTAGAGAGCAACCAAAGGACTTGTATGCATTCATATTAGCATAATCAATAAACACAGACACTGGGGCAGTGGGGGCTTGTCCAGGGTAGAAATGGCTGGTGGTGGGGTGGTCAAGCGGGGAAAAAGGAGACATATGTAAAACTTCAGACAATAAATTTTAAAAAAAGAATGATAAAAATAACTTTCACCAAAGTGGGAATAGAGAGATCATACCTAACATATTTAAAGCCTAATATGAGCAACCTATAGCCAACATCATAGTCAATGGGCAAAACCTAAAACAATTTCCCCTAAGAACAAGAACAAGACAGCGATGCACACTTTCACCACTCCTGTTTGACATAGTACTGGAAGTGCTAGCCATAGCAATCAGACAAGAAGAAGAAATAAAAGGCATCCAAATTGGAAAAGAGGAAGTAAAATTTCATTATTTACAGATGACATGATACTGTATATAAAAAACACTAAAGACTCTATCAAGAAACTACTAGACTTAATGAATGAATTTGGCAATGTAGCATGATACAAAATTAACACCCAGAAATC